CCAATCCAGGCAGGCCTTCTACCACTGAGCTCCCTCCCAGCCCTGTCCAACACCCTCTGGAATGGAGCATGTGCATCCAACTTCTCTGTGAGCTAAAGAAACCCTCAGTGTCTAAAGGTGAGACACACAAGGCAAGGGGAAAGTCGGGATGGGGAAAGGCCCTCTGCTCTGAGAAGAAGGAATAATATACATACTTCCTAGGAGCATGGAGGAATTCTTGATAAGGCCATCTTGCTTTTTAGTTTTTAAAAAAATAAGCAAATGGGCGGGGGATTTGGCTCAGTGGTTTCACTGCCTGCTGCGCAAGCACAAGGACCCGAGTTCGATCCCCAGTACCAAAAAAAAAAAAAAAAAAAGCAAAAATTGCCTATTTGTAATAGTTGTGATCCACATCTATTTAGTATTCTGCAGTAACCCAACTGGGTAAGCAGCAGTTCTCAGAGACTGTACACACTATACCTGCCTGACAAGGAGGAGAAGCACACAATCACCCTACAGCAGCAAGGGTGAATCTTTTAGAGCTTTCAATGATACAAACAAACCACTGTGGCACATGTGCCATAGATTCACCACCACTGCCCTAGACAAAACTGCATGGTTGGGGTATTTTTGGTACTGGGGATCGAACTCAGGACCTTGCCCATGCGAGGCAGGCACGGTGCCACTAAGCTAAATCCCTGACCCCTTGTTTTGTCTTTTTGAGACAAGGTCTTGCTATGTAGTTCAGGAAGGCTTTGAATTCACTATGTAGTCCAGGCTGGCCTCGAACTCACAGTGATCCTCCTGCCTCAACCACCCATGTGCTGGGATTACAGGCATGCACCACTGCACCCAGCAAAAGTACATGTTTTAAAAGAGCAGCCAAAGACCATCAGAATGTATAAGCATCAGGCTTCTGAATAATTTCTGTGGGCCACATTCATCCTTATTCAAAAGCACTGAGAAAATTATACTACATTTCTATTTGAATGTCATGGAAGTATAATAAATAACAGCTATTTTTTTTTTTTTAGAAAATAGAAACACTTAAAATAATGTTACCAATTATACTGAAAATGTATTATTATTTGTGGTACTGGGGATTGAGCCCAGGGCCTCTGTGCTGAGCTACACCCCAGCCCTTTTTTTTCACTTTGTATTTGGAGACAGGGTCTCACTAAATTGCCAAGGCTGGGCTCGAACTTGGAATTCTCCTGCCTCAGGTTACCAGAGTGCTGGGATTATAGGCGTGTACCACCATATCCACCAAAAATGAGAATTCTTTTTTGTTTTTTGTTTTTTGGTACCAGGGATCAAACTCGGGTCCTTGTGCTTTCCAGGCAGGTGGCGGAACCACTGAGCTAAATCCCCGGCCCCAAAATTAGAATTCTTATATAACTGAAATCAGTATTTACAGGCAGAGTGATTATTATATGTAAAGGTATAATATTTTTAGTTACTGAAACTAGGAGGAGTATGAAACAATCTGATTTTAGAAATTCTTCTAATGAAATCGATCATGGCTTAAAATTTCAACTATTTGAAACTTCTGCAAATAGAATTTCATAATATGTCAGTTTTGAGTACCAAACTATCACAATGCCATCTTCTGAACATTAAGTCTTGTTTTTCACAAGTTACCACACGTATCACGTTCTGAAATTTTCCTAATTTAAACACACATGCACGCACACACAAATAAACACAGAAAGAAAGCCTACCTCTTTTTCATTTCTAACAACTGATTATTGAGTACAGATCTTTCTTCTTCCAGCTGGAAAACAAAAAAAAGACAATACACACAAAAAAAGAGAGTGTTCAGTTCGTAACAAGTCCACAGAGAGACCCACTTCTCACCCCACTCCCACATCCCGGGCTCTAGGACAGCAGAAGCAACTGCACCTCACGGCCACTATGCACAGGACACACAGTGACCACTGCACAATTGCTTACAACCTGCTGGCGCCCCTTCTTCATGGACCTAGAACTGAAAACGTTAAATAACAGCAACTGCAACAGCACGTGGCTCCACTGAGGCTTTCAATTCATGTTTATTCAACGACAACTCTATTTTTGTTGTTTTTTTGGTTTTTGAGACAGGGTCTTGCTATGTAGTTCACCTCAAACTGGAGGTGATCCTCCCGCCTCAGCCTCCCAAGTACTGGGATTATAGGTGCACACCACCACACCCAGCCATCTCCACGATTAACATTCTAGTTGCTTTACCTATATCTCAGAGGCCACATGCCACTAACTCACAAGGGCTAGGAATAGGTCTTTTGCTCTCCGTGGCCCTCATTTCACTCACCTATTGACTCAGAACACACTCGGTTGCTAACTGAGTATTCAGTCACTCACTCAGTCACAAAGAAATATTCCAAGCACTTGTCATCAATAAAACAAGGAGATGAATAACAATTTTCAGCAGTCCCACAGTCCCACTGATTCAAGTAGTTAACCTTGCGAGACGAGGTATCTTCATCCCCAGCCTGCACCACACAAGTTGAACCAGACACCCATTTCAGCTCACACTAACAAAGGGGTTAAAGAGCTTTTGTGTGTGCCTTTTTTGGGGGGGTACCAGGGATTGAACTCAGGACCTTGTGCTTGAGAGGCAGGCGGCAGAACTGTGTGTGCTTTTTAAAATCAAAGGACAGCTAAGATTAACAAGTGTGGGCCAGGGATTTAGCTCAGTGGTTTTGCTGCCTGCTGTGCAAGCACAAGGAACTGAGTTTGATCCCCGGTACCAAAAAAAAAAAGATTAATAAGAGTGAAACTTCTACCAGCTCACTGTATGTAGCTGTAGTCATTATTACCTATCAGCCATATATACGCTTTGCTATGAGGTATCCCAGACTTCCTGAATATGCATATATGTATGTGCTGGACATAAATGTACCCTGATCATGAAGTCTGCAGAGGTTAACATCCAGGCTTGTTGCTCTGGACTCCCTGCTTTCCTAGTCCATTAAGATATATGCTGCTTCTGCCAGGTGCATGCCTGTAGTCTCAGCACTTGGGAAGCTGAGGCAGGAGGATCGACTCAAGTTCAAGGCCAGCCTGGGCTATATAGTGATGAATTCAAGGCCAGACTGAACTATATAGCAAGACCTTGTCTCAAAAAATAAAGGGGGGAGGTGCCTGGGATTTAGCTCTGTGGTTTTGCTGCCTGCTGTGCAAGCGCAAGGACCCAAGTTCAATCCCTGGTACCAAAAACAAACAAACAAAAGATATATGCTGCTTTTGCTGTAGGAGTAATTCAGAGAAATTTTTAGAATGAAAGAGAGCAGAGTGGGAGGCAAACTTTAAAACTGAAATGAGAAGGACAACATCTGGAGAGTAGGATGTGAAGATGAGAGGACTTTTATTTTTGCCTTTATGCCTTGTATTCGATTTTTTTTCGATTTATATTTTTTAAAAAACATGAAACTGTTTTGCTTTTATCATTAAAAAAATTAAAGTCAGGTGTGGTGGTCCATGCCTGTAATCCCAGCACTTGAGAGGCTGAGGCAGGAGGATCACCACAAGTTCGAAGCCAGTGTGGACTCCATAGCAAGACCTTGTTTAACACAAACAAACAAACAGGGACGTGGGATGTAGCATGCATGAGGCCCTCAGTTTTATCCACAGTACTGTGCTCCACCAAAAAAAAAAAAAAAAAAAGGAAGAGGAGAAAAGAAATGTGACTGCTGCCGCTGCCTCCCTCGCAAGCACAAGGTCCTGAGTTTGATCTCCGGTACCAAATAAAAAGAAATGTGACTGCTAAATGCACCTTATTATTCTGAACCAGAATAATTAGAAGCATTGATTCCTATAAAGACCAGGACAGTAAGTACCAAATTTCTATTCCTTAAAAGTTTAAGCATACTAGGAGTGGGCAAGGTGGGAGGAGATGGAGCGAGGAAGAAAGAATCTCTGCAAACTACTTTTTGGGCTGAATGACTCTTCAAATGTTTGTTAGTAATTTGTATTTTTCTCTCCTGTGGATTATCTGCATGTCACTTGTCCATTTATATATTCATTATAAAAATTTTCCAATCAGTATTAGGTTTTCTTTTTTGAAAATGTTTTTGGTGCTGGAGATCAAATTCAGGGCCTTGTGCATGCCAAACATTCACTCTATCCGAGCGAGCTCCATCCCCACAGTCTGTCTTCCTCTTCTCTATTACAGCTTCTAATTTCACACACTGTGGTCAGAGAACATGTATGACTCCAGTTCCTTCACATGCATTGAACATTGTTTCTTTTTTTTAAAAAATAAATTTAACAACCTTTTATTGTTAAGTCATTAAGAGGTATCAAAATTAAAAAGCAAAATTACAGGGTAAGACTTAACAAAACTACTAGGAGCGTCAGAAGAAGTGAAAATGGGACTAGGCACGGGGCAATTATGAACATGGGAAGGACAAAGATAGAACAGTGAGCATGTGCTGAAGATACTAGGGGAGAGGATCTGGTGAAATTTTGATCTTAGACGAGCACCTAGGTAAAGAAATAATGGGATAAGACTTCTAAACCCCACTATGTGCTTAAGAGTCATCCTCTCCTTCCTCAGCCTCTTTTTCATCATCCTTGATCAACACCAGCTGGTCATCCCCCCATCTTCATTGTCGTCATCATCCAGTAGGTCCCCCTCCTCAGCAGAGTCATCTGCAGCACCCTCAGACTCTGTCTTCATATTAGTCTCATCTTTCTTCAGGTAGGTGCTGGTTTGCTCCTCTTCTGACTAATCATTCTTCATCTCTACTGCTTGTTTGCTCTGTTCCTTTTCGATTTTCTCCAGGCTTTCCAGTAAAGAATCCACTTTTTGTTTTATCTGGGTCAGCTCCTTCTTAATGGCCTGAAGATCATCACCTTTCAACTTTCTAGACTTGGAAGAAGATCCCCGCTGTCCACTCTTAGAATTGAAGCTGCTTTTGCCCCTTTGTGAGTTGTTTCCTGATACGGACTGGAGTTTTGAGGGCACTACAGCCCGAGCAATAGGAGGAGGAGGAGGAGGAGGAGGAACACGTGCTGGGTAACTGTACATCCTGTCATAATAATCACATTGAAAGTCATAGTCCAAATCAAGAGGAGCCGTACATCTCCGCTGCAGATTGTTTCACACCTGCTTTTCCTCTGTTCACTTTTGGTTCTGCAGCCAGATTAATATCTAAAACTGGGCCAGCAAGCATTCTGCCATCCTCTCCTGCTACAGCAGCCTGGGCCTTTCTCTCGTTAACATACTGGACAAAGGCAAAGCCCTTATGAACAGAGCAACCCACAATTTTGCCATACTTCGAGAAGATTGCCTCCAAATCGGATTTCTTTACCACAAGAGTGCTGAGATTTCCAATGAACACACGGGAGTTCATGGAGCGAGGATCTGTCTTGTTGCAAACATTGCTAGGCATCGTGTTTGATGATAAGGTTGCTGACAAAGAAAAAAAACAGGAGAGGGATGAGAGAAGCGATTCGATTCTGAATCTGCTGCTCCCAGGTTCTATGTGAAGTCGACAGTTGCTTGAGGTAGACAACGCGGCCACAACCTCTGTCTTCATCTCTTCATAAAATGGCCCCCGAGTCTCCTCTGCCGCCGAGGCTGAACACTGTTTCATGGCTTAATTTACGGTCTAGCCTGGAGATATTCCAGGTGCAGCGGGCAGCCGCATACTCTGCCACCAATGAATAAACACAATAAAATAAAATACATTCTAAGCCAGGCATAGTAGCTGTATTCCCAGCATTCTGGGAGGCTGGGGCAGGGGCATTATAAGTTCAAGCCTAGCCTGGGAAACTTAGCAACTTAGCAAGACCTTGTCTGAAAATAATAAAACAGGAAGTAAAAAAGGGGGCTCAGGATATGGCTCAGGGCAAATGCCATGGGTTCAATCCCCATTACAAAAAAAAAAAAAAAATCCAGACAGGCAGAGTGGTACACACCTGTAATCCCAGCACTCGGAAGGCCAACGCGGAAGGATTGCTGTGAGTTTGAGGCCAGCCTGGGCTACATGGTGAGTTCAAGGCCAGCCTGGACTGCATAGTGACCTTGTCTCAAAAAAATTTTTTAAAGCCCGGGATTTAGCTCAGTGGTTCCTCCACCCACCTCGCAAGTGCAAGGTCCCGAGTTCAATCCCCAGTACCAACATTTACAATGCTGTCAAATGAAATGGTGATATAGGTAGTACTTTTTCAAGTTGATTCATGTTATAAACATGTCTTTTTTTTTTTTTTTAGGGTACTGGGAATCAAACTCAGGACCTTGCCCTTGCCAGGCAGGCAAGGCACCACTGAGCTGCATCCCTGGCCCCTGCCATTTCTAATTTAAAACTAACATTATAATTTAAAAGGAATACATTTTTTTTAGAGATAAAAATATTTACAGATGAAATGTCAGGATACCAGTTGCTTTATGACACTCAGGGCAGATGGGGTAGCAGGCGAGTGAAACCAGCTGGGAGTGGCCAGGAGCTCACTGCCAGGGGAACCTGACACAAGAGCACTGGCCAGCCCACTCTGCCTCCAGGTTTGCCTGAGATTTCTCAGGATCAGAGGATAATATAATAAGTAGTGAAAGATAAAAAAGGAGGGCAGAGCTGGGTGTGGTGCGGGAGATTACCACGAGTTCATGCTAGCTTGGGGTATATAGTGAACTCAAGTCCAGCCTGAAGTACATAGTGAGACTCTGCCCCCCCCAAAAGGGGGGGGTTCAAGAAAAATGTATAAGAATATAACAATGAAAGAAGAGCAAAACTTATTACAGTTTGGGAAATGCTGAGCCAGAAAATGTCAAGG